AAAAAAAAAAAAAAAAAAAAAAAAAAAAAGAGACCGGGGACCTCACAATTCTTGAAAATTCCCCAGCCCCGATTTGATGTTGGAAATATAGCCTTGGGACCGTGATTTGGTAAAAAAAAAAAAGAAAAAAATATATATATTGAAAATGAGGCCTGGGACCTTGTCCCACTTGCACCGTTTAGTTGAGGCAGCTCAACGGTGCGACAGCTAAAAAAAAATCATTCTAAATTCTAATTCAATTTCAACTGAGAAATGCATTTATAAATGGCACGAATACAATTGTTCTCGTTTTTGGTTTTTCTTTTTTCACAATTGGAGTGACATACGGGCACTTCCATTACACAGCAGAAAATGAAAATGAAGCGTGAGTCGCCAGAATCCCTTTTGTACAAAAAAAATGGCACACGGAAGGGGGCTTGTACAGTTTCTCTAAAAAAAAGCCTTTGGGGGGAACAAGAGGGTCGTTGCTTTTTTATGTAAGAAAAATCACATATAGTCTCTATTGCCTTTTTTATTAAAAACGGACCGCTAGATGACTTGGACTAAGTGCATCTCCATCGTCTCCTACAGTCACATCCCGGAGTTATCCCGGCAGCATCAGCCGGTTTCGCTTTTGCCTTTGCCCCCCAGCCTATCTAATTCCAGCGAAATCTTGCTCATTGACCAAACTCTCTGTTTCCCAGACTCTCTCTCTCTTGGACCTCTACCTAATCTCCTACTTCTACTTATTATAGTATGTATCCCTCTCCTAACCTCAGCGGGCTACACGCCCCCCCCCCCCAGCCTACTTCTACTTCCTTTTTCGTTGTTTTTTTTTTTTTTTTTTTTTTTTGAAGTCCCCTAAGCGTTTAAATATACAAATAAACAGATAAATATATCATCTGTTCAACGTGCCAGATTATCCCAACGGACCAATGGACCAACGAGATCAACCGCCGTGCTTCTCGCTAGTTTGAGGTCTGGCTACGGTAGGGGTCCCGCTGATGAAGTGACGGACCCATCAAACACCCACCCAGCCCACGTGGGTGAATGGTAGACACACGTAAACAGATCACGAATCCATGTCACTGTTGTTTTTTTTTTTTTTTTTTTTTTTAATCCATCTCTCTGGAGGAGTAAAGGCTTTTGTTTTTTTTTGTTTTTTTTTAAGGAGGAAAAAACACGGCCATGCATGCTCGCTCAGTGACACGTGGAGCACGTAGAGAGTATCACTGCGCGACGAAGCCGGAATGAGGGGGTGGGTTTGCGAAACTGGTCACCCCCTGGCCGGGTTTCAACCAAAACTACCCTTC